CAATTTACAATTTCTCTCTCAATATCAGATCTGAAATCAGTTAGCTACTGCAATTTACAAAGAAAAATTTTCTCAGTATACACTATACAATATCAGATCTAAAATCCCAGCAGCCACACCATCAGTATACAGGTCTAAAATCATTTATACTTAGATCTGAAATCTGTTCCTGCAGTTCAGACATCAGTTCTACATAGATCTGAGATCAGATCTGAAAGCTACTACAATTTTATAAATTCTTTCTCACTATACCAATCTGATTTCATAGCTGAGATCAGTGGCTATTGAAACTCCACTATTGCAACTCACTGTTTAGGTCTGAAATCAGTAGCTAGAACAGCTGCGTTCAGGTGACTGTGTCAGGTCTAAGCTACATATTGAAAGGCTACTAACTATCAGATCTGACCCCACTGTTTTATGAATTGTGCACCACCCAACATCAGCTAAAGTGGCTATTAAAAACTGAGCAAACCAGCGAGGCAAACCACTGATATCAGCAATGAAGCATGCTGAAAACAGAGCTGTACAAAACTGAAATCAAACAGTAAAAAGACAGTTAAGTGTGCTCAGGTCTGATATGTGATTTCAGCAATAAGAGTTAGTGTATACAGATCTGAATCTGTGGCTATACTATGCATGGTAGCAAAGTTTCAGATTTGTATATACCATAGATACAAATCCGAAACTTAGAATTGAAGATACAGATCTGAATCACTCTATTGCTAGTGTCATCAGATATAATTTGGTATGTGTTCAGATCTGATTGCAGAAGTGGTAGGTAAGGTATACAGATCTAATCCACATTATTTTCATAAGATATGCAGACCAAAAAGAGCAGAAGCTATAGCAACCATAATGAGTTCAGATATGATCTCTGATTTCATAAATCATAGCTAAGATGATCAGATCTGAACTGCACTAGCCACTAGCAATCAACTAGATTACCCAAACTAAAACAGAAACCAAAGATGAAGCAGAACAAAAAGAGCAGCTACTCTACTGAAACTATAGCAACTATAATGAGTTCAGATCTGATTTGTGATTGCAGAAATGACAGGTAAGGTAATCAGATCTGAACTGCACTCTTTTTTTATAAGATATACAAGAATGCAGCTACCCTACTGAAATTAGAATAATAAACTAAATATATGTATATATATATATATATATATATATATATATATATATATATATATATATATATATATATATATATATATATATATATATATATATTTTCTTGTGTGCTCAGATCTGCATTAGGATTTCAGCAATGTAAGTGAATGTATGCAGATATGATCCGCACTAATTTTCTTATAAATTTGCAAACTAGAAAAACATACCTCCATTACTGAAACTAGACCAACATTCAAGTGTGAAGTAGATCATCAATAGAAAAAAAAGAGCTAGCTAGATCAGTAATGGAATTTATTACACACTATTCTGAACTAAAATGAACAGAAGTAAACATATATAAACTCTACTGTAAATAGGTCTAAAATCAGTGCTGAAGTTAGGATCTTTAGGCTGCTCTTCAGGTTCTAACCTTATGAAATCAGATCTGAAATCTTAGCTATTGAGAACAGCCACCTACAGAAATGCAAATTCCAAGCCTAATATCAATAAGTAGGTTTGAAATCTGTTGCACTCAGGTCTGAAAAAAGACTGGAATCAAGAGCTTATTCAAAGTTCAAAATTGCACATCTTATCTACATCCATAAATTGTAGAGACCTGAAATCAGGTCTGCAATTTTTGTTAGTATTCGAATTCAGATCTGATTTGGATGGATTCAAGTCTGTAACCTTTTAGTACTGATAGTCCACAGATAACAATCAGATCTGAGCTATTTTTGTATACAAATACACAACCATTGAGATCTGAAATATACTGAAATATACATCAATTAGGGCTAGGATCATATATGAATTGCATTCGGGCTGGGATCAGATCTGAAGTGGGAAAAAAAATCCGAACTAGACTATAATCAGATATGAATTAGGCTTGGTTCAAGAGCTTTAAGCTCTGTAATTGAAGTTCAATCTTGTATAGCTCATATATATCAAATAATTGCAGAGACCTGAAATCAGGTCTGCAATTTTTGGTATTGTTAGCAGTCGCAATCAGATCCGATGCCAGTAGTTTACAAAACAAACATTAGTCCACTAATATGATGCCCTTCTTAGATCTTCGAACCTCAGATATAACACAAAAATAGTCAATCAGATTGGATGCAAATAAGATAACAAAAATAGCAGTCCACTAATATTTCAGATCATATACCGCATCAGATCTCATATCAATCCTCATTAGAAATCAAGCGCACTCAGGTTTGATTTCATCATTTATTGCTACACTTTCATCAATGAGGCAGGTCTGATGCATCAGATTGCAATTTTGGCACTGTTATCACCCAAATTCAAATATGATTTGAGTGGGTTCAGGTCTGAGTTCTGAACTCAGATGAATTCAGACCATCATCCCAATAGGATAGAGATATTGTACATGATTTCTATACCTTGGGATCTGAAGTTTATGAGAATATATGCTTGAATACCTTGGGATCTGGCTTGCATCTACTCCAAACGGTCGAAACGGTTTTCGAAGTCGTATACCTTGTTGGCTAGGATTTCGATATCAACCTGGTTAGCAATTTCTTGGCCAATTTGGTCATTGACTTTTAGGTTAGCACTCTCGAGGTTGTTGGGCTATTCTTTTGAAACAGGGGAAATGTTGCTTTTATGAGCATCCATCCTCCATGATTAAGGACGAACCAGAGATTCTAATGTAAGTGGGGTGGTTAGGCAAAGAATAATGGTCTCCTTGAAGGATGAAGAAATGCTAGGAGTCTTGGGTAACAGGGGTATGCTAAGATATTTTATTGACTGAATCATGTGTTTGTTGTGTTCTACACTCCCTTTTATAAGGGGAGATCCCGAGGCCTTGAAGGAAATGAGCCAAAAAGGGATTTGACTCTTGTTTGAAAGGGGATCCTCGGTTCAATATCGGTCGTTAGGAGGGCACTGCTGGGGGTTTGCCACATGTTACATGAGATCTTTGCAGGACAAAATTTCCTTTTGTCTAAGGATTCTCCTAGTGCACGTGTGCTACTTCCTTTCATGGGTCCCCTTTGTCAATGTGGCGTGGGTGACATCGGAATTAGTTTGACATGTTGGCCTAGTTGTTCCATCATCGTCCGGTTGTTCTATTATGAATAGTCTTTGGCTTGTTGTAAATGCACGCCAGTTCTTAAGTGTATCGCATGTCCGCAACGTTCTTGAGCTCATCGTAGGTTCGTGACGAGTTATGGACTCGTCACGGATCTGCGTCGGCTTACGTGTTGCCATGTGTGTTTATGTGGTTCTAATTTTGTACCTTCATTGCAATCGCAGTCATAGTGAACATGTACTTACAATTGCATTTAACAAATTTGTCAATGATAATTAGAAAATTATTCTATTCTCTAGAACCACATATCCAAATAGGTATGAGAAAATAGGTAGGTTCTACCTATAACAGGATGGGATTGACCTTGAACCAGCCTTGAACCGATCCTACCCAATTTATAACAAGGTAATGTCTAATTCCAAATTCTTTGAACCCAATCCCCACCCAAGTTGGTTCTAAGATCTAATGGGTTTACCTTACATAAACCAACCTTGGTGGAACTTGCCTTGGAACCAAACTTACCTTGAAATAAACCCCAAAAATACTTTAAGGTTGTGAAGATTTGAACCCAAGCACTCATGGTTACAAAAGGCTATGGTCTCACTTGGTCATTAAGTTACTTGAGTGGTTTGATTTTTTGTTGTCATTTTAATACTTGAATGTGTATAATTAGTAACGTAAAAGGTAATATTTACAAAGTTTAAATTATAGTGATAAGTTATGAACCATATATTAATATATTATGATAATCTGCATATTAAATTATTCAAGTTAATCAACAAAAATAATATAAGTTTTAAATTATATATTGTACTTATCGAAAATTAAGTTTTTAAATAACATGTTTCATTCTTTTTAAGGGGAAGAATAAAGAAATAACAAGTTTTATGAGTAGACTTGGGAACCACCAAGGGGAGAGATGACCCTAGAATTGACTTTCACAAGTTAGGTTTTGGTTCCAATAACTTGGAATTGACCCCTACAAGGTAGGTTCTATGTTATCCCATGGAACCAAACCAAACCGACCCATGCTCACCTTTATATCGAAAACATCATAGTGTTACAAGGGTAGGGCATAAGAGAATACCGATTTAGTTTGGTTCTTCTATATTTTTTTAGGCTAAATTACAAAGACCCCATGTACTATGGGGCCAATGACAATTGCCCCTTAAACTTTCATTTGCAACAAAGACCCCCTTGAACTTTTACTTTGTGACAAATACCTCATTCGTTAGAGTTTTGCCGGTTAACTTCAAAAAAGATAATTATTCATTCGTTTAAAGATTTTTACATCCCCAAGCTACCAATTTCTTATTTATTTGAATATTTGTGATTCAATTAATTTTCTAATATACTATTGAAGTCCTCTCAATTACTCTAATAAACCATTATAGATTTCTAGCTAAATTCAATATTTAGATGAAATGACAGATGTTTCTTTTTGATAGATAAGGGTTTGTGTTGTTTTTCTTCATTTATTTGAGAAGTGAGTGGGTATTTTAAGATGAAGATAGACATTAATGTCATAAAATGAAGTAAGAATTAACCAAACTTATGGCGGTTCAAGTTGATAGATGGCATTCTTAGGACATTTTTGACTTTTCAAATATTACTTACTAGTTAACGGCAGGTACTGGCTTATCACATTTTGAAAGTTTGGATAGTAGATTGTTATATTTTAAAAGTTTGAATATTAAATTATCACATTTTAAAATTTAGATACCAAATTATCAACAGGGTAATAATCAGGAATTTTTCCTTTTAAGTTAAAGCGCTAATTCGCTGACTAGTATTTGTCGCAAAGTGAAAATTAAAATTCATGGGATCTTTGTCGCAAATAGAAGTTCAGGAGTAATTGTCACAAACCCCATACCAGGGCCCTTTCTAAGTTTACCCTTTTTAATTTTTTTTTTTCTCTCCGGCTCCGTGATTTTCTTTTGCTATGACCCCGATACTCTTTTAGCTTCTCTCCATAGTTGGGAACTTGGGATTCCTCACTCTTCGGTCGGATCAACAAGCGTAACCCTTCTCCGAAAACCCAAACATTCTAGACTGAAAATTCTTTTCTTTCTCATTCATTTCAACCCTTATCTGTGTTTCTCAATCACCAACACAACGATCAAGTTTTTCTTTGGGAAATGACCTCCGTCTTTCTATTTTGATTGGAGTTACAATTTTCATTTATTCTCCAGGGGAGAATTGACCTCTTTTCATCGCATCTACCATTCGGGAAATGCTCTCCGCTAGTTAATTCAAGATGAAGCTGAAGAGGAGGAGGGTTTTAGAAGTGGTATTGGAATTCTCAATACAAGTTGTCGTCTTTTATTCCTTAATTTTCATGATATCAGTATTTAAGTCGAATGGAATATTTGGTTAGGGCCCTTTTTTTTGAGCCAATTGCTTAGTTCGACCCTGTTCATAGCATCCAAGTACATTTTATGGCTTTGCTTGATTAGGAAGTGATTTTGTTGCTCTGCTCATCGAATGTTGGACAGTAAATATTGGGTCTGTTTTCGTTAACAAAAATTTGCTTCCCGTTGTTACTTAATTTGACCCTCATGCATGCTTTATTGTTGTTTTTCTTCTACTTTTGATTAAAAACTGGGAGTGTTAAGCCAGTATTCACTAATTTGAACTTCTGCTATTCAAATGTAGTTTGCTACTCATGGCAGGTCAGTTCAAGATTAATTTTGAAAATTAAAAGTGGCAGCTTTCAATATTGATATCTAAATATTGTTGTTTGGGTGCCAATGATGAGTGGAATCTAATAATAATTGACGTGGAACTCAATTATTACTGTGAAAAGTTTGTGTGAATTGTCTTCAAAATCACCCATAAAAGGAAATAGATAGAAAAAAAACAGAAAAATTCAATTATTCATTTCAACCCCCTAAATCATATATTGTAGTCTAGTGACCACTTGGGAAATTCTAAGGTATACTTAAAACCTAGACGGTTGAATGCTTATGAGCATGACACAAGACTACAAGGTTTTATGAGATCAAGGCCTTTATTTGGAATAATATATAACACATTGTATTGTGGTCTCTGAGAAATTATTATTTTTTAATTGGTGTCATTCGTAGGAACTTAGGAGTGGCTCCAATAAGTGATAAAACGAGAGAAAGTAGACTAAGATGGTTTGGGCATGTGCATGGAAGACCATCAACGACACCCACAAGGAGTGATCTGATACAAGTTGAAAGGGGCTAGAAGGGCATGGGGTAGACCAAAAAGGACATGGCCAGACGGGGTAGAAGTAGTAAGAAATGATTTAAAAGCCAATAATTTAACAATGGATATGGCATTAAACAGTATGGACTGGTGAAACATGATTCATATAGCTGACCCCATATGGTTGGGATAAGGCTTGCATGACAATGATGAATGGTGTCTCCAAAAAACTTTATATCCTATAGTACTCATGATCATGGTTCAAAAGTTCGATATGATACACCCTGTATCAGGTATATCATATTGTATCGTATCGGTAGCTTGTTGATATGTGAAATACAGGTCTTTTGGGGTCAAACCCCATTTGAGGGGGTAGGCATGCCTTGAGCCAACCCCTCTGAAAAAGTTTTGATAAAAAAAAAAAAACTAAAAAAATAGAGTGGGGTTCAAAGTACTGATACACCCCTTCCACCCTATCAGGGTGTATCGATACTTTGAACCTTACTCGTGATCTTCTCATTCCAGTCACTTTTCTCATAAAAAAAAAGAAAACGGCAAAATAAAAAGGATAAAAGGTTTGGTTGCAAATTACAAGCGACCACTGTTTTCCACATGTAGAGAAAAAAATGGAACAAGTCAGTGCAAATTTGAATCCAAAACCAGGATTTTTTTTCCCATTTCTTTATCAGCTCTGACATTGAAGCAAAAACATAACAATGATCTGGCCTGTTCCCATCATATTAAGAACCTTAAATTTTTCCTCTCAAAACATGGCAAATCATCATATCTCAAAGACAACAATATTTTTATTGGTAATAAAAAAGTTTATTAGAAACAAAAAGAATACAAGAGAAAGGAAGGTGACCAGCAGTCACCCGAAGGAAGAAAAGAGAAAAAACGCCAGATTCAAATAAAACCTAACCTGCCCCAATAAAGCAAACCTTTAGCACTCACAACATTCTATCAAGGAAAGAATCATACTGCAATCCCTCAAAATAGATAACATGAAATAGTGACACTTCAAAATATATCATGAAGGAGAAATTTGTATAACTTCAAACCAAAAGATCTGTGATTACTCCATGCTGCCAGCTTGATTAATCTCAACTTCTTTAAACCTTCTGCTAACTTTCTTAACTCTCTTCACCTTTTTGACCGGCCCAATTCCAAAAGGACTGCCTTTCAACCTAGCAAACACTTTTGAAACTTGGACAGGGTGATGATTATTCCTGTTTCTAAAATGGTAGCTGCAGTGATCAATCTGATTTCAGACTGGGTCCTTAGTCTTCCAGATTTTGACAAAGTATCCAAAGCTGATTTGTTGGAAAGATTCTGGAATACCTTTGATTTACAGCCTTGTAATGAAGAATCCTTTTCAATTTGACTTCTAGTGTGTATTTGGTGTGTCAACTTGATAACCAATGGTGTTTAAATGTAATTCTTTTTTTTTTTTTCAATTTAATGAATTTTTTCTTGATCCTTCAAAAAAATGATTATTCCTGTTTCTAAAATGCTTAACTGCCTTTGAAAAATTATTCATGTTCTTCTGATTATCATTGATTCTTTCTAGTTTCAACACCACAGTTTTTTGTAAGAGTCTGATGGACAACTTCAGCTCCTTCCTCAGATGTAACATCCCCTTCTGGAATGACTGGAAACAAACTACCCCAAATCCCATTATGATTTGAAGAAGAGTTAACCAAATCAGTGTCCAAATCTTTTTTTTTTTTGTTTCAATAATTTTTTTTTCTTTTATCTTCAAAAAAAAAAGTGTCCAAATCTACCTTCTCCTTATGCTTCAAAGGAAAAATTTCTTCTAGCTTCTTGAAAGTTTTCCTTGGAAATTCAAAATGTAATCCCAAGGTTTTTCTCACCTCCACCTTAATATTTATCACTTTCTCTAAATCCATAGCAGTCTCACAAGAAAAAAAATCTAAATCTATAGATCTACCAATTTCATGAGTCTTATCCATAACTACCCCTTCATCATTTGAAACATCTTTCTCTGCAATTTCAATAGTATTTTAAATTATATTAATTTCAGTATTTAAAAAAACTAGTATAATAAGTATTTAATAAAGCAATATTCATTTAAAATTATTAACTAAAGAAGGCTATAATTTTATATGATAAAAATTTAAGATAGAGAATAAGTAAAAGAGAAAAAGAACAAGGGTTGAACCACTATTTTATTTAACATAACAGAGAGAATAAAAAAGAACAAAAGAAAAATAAATATATAATAGAATGTATTAACACACATTTAAGTAAAGATATAACCATAATAATGATATTATAATAGATCGCCTGTCTTGTATTTTTGTCGCCTAGGGAGGTGCATAGTTGCTCGGATAGGCACTTTGTTGCTATAAGTCAAGGCATTCAAGTGAGGCATCCGACCAAGGGCACCTTATCACCTAGGTGCACATCTCAAGGAATCGTTCAACCTAAAAGCTTAAGTTGTTAGGCGAGGTCCTTGAATAGGTTTTTATTCTATAACATGCTCCCTTACGTGGAATTCTATTGGGCTTAAAGCATAGACAAGCATAGGTCCACCCATACCTTGTGCTGAAATTTCATTAGTTATAATGGGGGTGACAAGGTTTGAACACTATACCACTTGATCAAACAGGCTCTGATACCAAGAAGAAAAATATAAACAGAAAAAATAGAAGAAATTAAGAGTTTGAAAATGGAAGAGAAGAAGAAAGGATTCAGACCTAGAGAAGAAGAAGAGATGGAAGAATAAAAGGGTTACAAGAAGAGAGTTGATCATGAATCTCTCTCCAGCCACTGATAAAAAAAATCTCTCTCCAGCCCAATCTAATTGTATTTATTAAACTTAATTTTTTGTACAAAGACAAAAACACCCTTAGTAGGGTGGCTGCACACTTAAACATAACATAATAGTGGGGAGACAAATTTGGAAAAGTCTTTAACAGAAAAAAAGGTTGACGGGGAGGGACTCAGAGATTGAAGAAGGAAAAGGGGACAGGGTAGGGGAGAGGGAAGAGTGCCAAGAGGAGGAGAGGGGGGGGGGAGGCGGACGGAGGAAGAGGAAAAGATAAATGAGACACAGGAAAAAGTGAATCTAATCCAAGATGGGGAGGTGGTAATCAACACTCTTGTCGAGAGGGAAGTGACAGTGGGAAAGTCCTTGGGTTTGTTCTTCTGGAGAGGGGTGGAGTTTGCAAGGAGAGCCTTTGAACAATTTGAGAAAGATAAGAGAGAGGAGAAAATTAGAAGACAGGAGAGAAGGGAATTAAGCAGAGGGTGGGATGAGGAGGAGCTGTTGGGGGAGGATATGTGAAGGGCCAGAGACTGTCTTCTTCAAGGAGTGAAGGAAGAGGACAGGAAGGAAAAAAGTGCTGAGCTGGAATGTAAGGGGTCTGAGAGAGAGTAACAGAAGGGCAACAGTGAGAAATATGATCAGTAGACTTTGTCCTGAGGTGGTTTTGCTCCAAGAGAGAAAGCTGGAAGCTTTTAACATTGGTGTGATGGAGGAAATTTGGGGCAGGAACAGTGGGGATTGGGTGGGGTTGAATGCTGAGGGACTGTCAGGGGGTTTACTCACTCTGTGGGATTCAGGGGTTTTCAAAAAGGTTGGTGAAAAGGTGGGTAAGATCTCAATTTCAGTATGTTTGAAGGAGGTAAATGGGGACTGGTTATGGGGTGCAACAAATGTTTATGGGCCAAATTCAGAAGGGGAAAGGATCGAGTTCTGGGAGGAGTTGGA